AGGCTTTCTACTCCCGTAAAGATTTACACCCTCGGAAACCCTGTACAGGGTCGCTATGGGTCGGAACCGACTCAATGGCACTTAACAACAACAACCTGGGCACAAATGATGTTAATTAATCAATTTCTAGGTCCTTAAATTTCATAAGTATTCTTTTCTAAAATTGATAATGCCTGTGGCCTATGATGGGTTCCTAGCCTATGATACAGGCCAACTGCTGATTGTCCTTTCCCATCTTCCCTTTCACAGTAGCTTTCAGTTCACCTCATGGAGTGTTACCAGGGCATTCTTTTAATGCAGACATCTCCCCCATTGTCTCCGCAAAAGATCCATTTCCAATAAGATTCCATCTTTTATGTTTAATTTTCAGTGGTGTATAGTTAAGTTTAGGAGCCCTAATGGCAGTGTGAGTTAGGTGTTGGGCTGTTAACCAAAAGGTCAGTTGTTGAAACCCATCAATGGTTTGCTCCTGTAGAGATTTAGTTTTAGAAATCCTATATTGGGTCATTAAGAGCTGGAATTGACTCATTGGCAGTGTGGTTTTTTTGTTTTTTTGATTGTTGATGGAGTCCTGCTGTGACGCTATAAGATAAACATTGGACTGAATGGGGTCACTATGAGTCGGACCCAACTTGATGGCACTTTAACAGCAACATTAAGATTAGCTGTATTCTAATTATAGTGACATACATTTAGGAAAATGTTATATCAGTTTTATTTTAAAATGTCAGATACTTGAGAAATTCATCCTTTCCAATTATGTAAACATTACACTGATAGTTTTTAGATGTCATCTTAATGTGTGAAGGACTTTGTAATTTTTAAAACCTTTTGGGAGTAGTTTGTGAGCCCAAAGAAATTGCTGGGTGATGCAAATAACTGATATGTTTGATTGCTAGCTGAAAGGGTGACGGTCTGGACCCACCCAACAGCTCATTGGGAAAAAGCCTTGATGATCTGTTTTCATAAAATTGTTGTTGTTGTTATGTGCCGTGGAGTCAGTTCCAACTCATAGTGATTCTGTACAGGGTTTCCGAGGCTGTAAATCTTTACGGGAGCAGAAAGCCTCATCTTTCTCCCGCGGAACAGGTGGTAGTTTCGAACTGCTGATTGTGAGATTAGCAGCCCGATTCGTAACCACTACGCTACTAGAACTCCTTTTTCATAAAGATTATAGTCTATAAAACATTTTGGTCAGTTCTAGGCTGTCACAGAGGGATGCCGTGAGTTGAAATGGACTCTGTGGTACCTAACAACAACAACAACGTGCTGATACTACACTGGCTTAATTCTTAATGCTTTTAGTTCTTTAAGAAATCTTGCTATCTAGAGGCATTTGATTCTCTGCATTTCTTGAACTTTTGTTCTATAAAACTTTTCAGAATCATCAGCTCATCAGGTGACATGAAAAACTCTTTGAGGTTTAATTGGAATTAATTTGGGAGAGAATTGAAAAATTTTAAAGAATTTGAGCTTTTCTGTCTTCCTTTATTAGATTTATTTCTTTTACTATGTCGTTGATAAGTGCTGTCAGTCAGTTCTGACTCATGGTGACCCTATATAGGGTTTCCAGGCAGCGGCTGGTGAGTTTGAACCACTAACCTTCCTGTTCAAACTGATCTTATGGTTAAATTGTTTATTCTACAGTGCCAGTTCTACAGAGGAATTTTCTCCCTACAACTCTTCTGTGTTTTAATGATGTTGATTCCTTTGTATTAACCGTTTTGATTATTATAAATTTCTTATTTTAGTATTTGTTGTAGGTAAACAGAAACATAATGGGTTTTAAAATATTTTGATTTTTGGCCAACCACTTGATAAGAAACTATCTTATTAGTTCTGATGCATTTTCTAGAGTTCTTTTGTTTTTTTCTATACAGACAGTTTTATCACCTGCAATGAGTGACAGTTTTGATTTTTCTTTTGAAGTATTTCTGCTTTAATGTGCTGGGAACACACGTTCAGATCTATGTTCAATAGAAGTGATTTTGGTTCAGTAGGAGTTCATTAGAAGTGATTTTAATGGCCATACGTCTTACTCCTAATTTTAATTTTAATATTTCCCCATATGAATTTTTGTAGATACCCTTCCTTAAGATAGGATAGTCTGCACTTTTGTTAGCTTTTCTGTGGGTTTTTTCGTTTCATCTGTTAAATGTTAAACTAAGATTTAAAAATTCTTAATTAACTCTTGTATTCCTGAAATAACCCAAATTTGTCTTAATGGGTTACATTTTTTATACACTACTAGTTTGCTAATATTTTCAGATTTTTTGATGTTTATGAATATGTGTCCATTTAAAAAAAAATTATCTGTCTTGTCTGATTTTGGCACTAAGGTTACACTGACTTTATACAATAAATTAAAATAATTCATCTTTTCTATTCCCTGGGAGAGTTTGGATTGGAGTGATATATTTCTTATATTTGACAGAATTCCCTATAAAATCTTTTGGGTCTAATGTTTTCTTTGTGAAGCATTGAAAATTATGAATAATTTAATATTAGTTGTCAAATAAAATTGAGGCTGTAGGCCCCTGTAAAGGTGTACAACCTTGGAAGCCCTCTGGAGCTGTTTTACTCTGTCCTTTAGGTCACTAGGAGTGGCATTGATTCAGCTGCAGTGAGTTAATAGTAAATGATAGTTTAATAGTTTTAAGGCTGTTGAGATTTTTTTGTTTCTTTTGGTTGCTTTAGGTAAGTTTAGAAATTTGTCCATTCCAACAAATCTCGCAGTTTATTTGCATCAAGTTCATGATACTGCCCTTTTTTAATCCCTGTTTTGTAGTAATGTTCCTTTTAAATTTCGAATGTTATTCATGACTTTTTTTGTAGTCTTCCCAAAAGTGTGTCTAGTTTATTAATTTTGCAAAGGATTAACTTTTGACCTAATTAGTCCTCTCTGTGTCACTATAGGATAAGCACTAGACCGAAAGGTCGGTTTGTGTTGTAAGGTCAGCGGTTCAAAGTCACCACTTGCCCTTGAAAACTCTATACAGGGTCGCTATAAATTGGAAACATTCAATGACACTTAACCACAACAGCAAAACATTACGTCTTTGGAGTCCTGGTGTGGTGCTGTTGGATTAGCACTGGACTGTTAACTGCAAGGTCAGTGGTTCTAACCCACTAGCCACTTCTTGGAAAGCCTATACAGGGGTGCTATGAGTCAGAACTGATGGACTATGTTAATAACAACATTGTATTTTTTATTTTAATCATTGACTTTTTAATTGGGTAAAATATAAATTAACAT